TTGTTTAAACAACAAACTGCTATACAGCAATAGTTTAAACAACAAACTGCTATACAGCAATAGTTTAAAAGACAAACTGCTATATAGCAACAGTTTAAAAGACAAACTGCTATTTAGCGAGAGTATAAGCAAGAAACAAGAGGGAATCCTCGTTAGCCGCGACACTTGAAATTATTTTATGCAGGATTAGAGTAAATTAATCTATGAGACATTTTTTTCCCCTTTTTTTATCTATATTTTCGTGCGCCAGCAATATTAAGCGTGGTGCGCGCGTATACCCGATTCAGTTTTAATTGTTTTGTTTGTTTGTTTTGAATTTATGCACAAAGCTACACAATGGGCTATCTGTGCTCTGCCCACCACGGATATCGAAACCCGATTTCTAGAGTTGCAAGTCCGTAAGCATACCGCTGTGCCACTGGGGGGGGGCTCAATTTTATTACTCAAAAGGATCTCTAGCAGACTACTCTCAAGTTGAAATTATTTTAGATAGGACTAGAGTAAATTAATATACGAGACTTTGGGCGTGGTCAAATACATCAATTGAATGGGTTTGACCTCCTGAGTCCAAAACTGTAACTATATCTCAAATCAGTCAAGAGATGACGTAGCTACGAGCCACAAGTTAGTATTTGAAAAAAAAACAAATAAAACTGAGAGCCGTTCTATGAGCCGCTAAGCCGCGACTAAAAACTATAAAGCAGTATATTGTTTTGCTTGTTTTGAATTTCGCGCAAAGCTACACGAGGGCTATCTACGCTAGCCATCCCTAATTTACCAGTGTGAGACTAGACGGAAGGCAGCTAGTCATCACCACCCACCGCCAACTCTGGGGCTACTCTTTTTCCAACGAATAGTGGGATTGACCGTCACATTATAACGCCCCCACGGCTGAAAGGGCGAGAATGTTTGGTGTGACGGGGATTCGAACCCGCGACCTGCAGATTGCGAGTCGAGGGCCCTAACTACCTGGACATGCTGGGCCGAAGCAATAGATTAAAGGACAAATTGGCATAGTATGTTTAAAGGACATAACCTGCAAAGTATCAATAGTGTGAAGTTCATAAATAGCTATATAACACAAGGTTAAAAATCTATACATACTTCTTTTAGTTCAGATGAATCGTTACTACCATATGCAAGATTACTATGTGCTGGTTTTGTTTAATTTTTTGTTATTTAAAATTCATAAATTGATCCATATACTTTAACAGTTTTTAAAACCCAGATTCAGAAACAATATGTATACAAGGAAGAGTACCTTACATAATAAGAAACTGAAACTTTCATACAATAGGTATTAAAAAACAAAAAAATAAACACGTTTTGTAAAGTTACTTGAATTAACAAGTTTTTGGAGTAAATTTATCGTGTTTCGTTTTTTTTCGTTACAGGAACAATAATACCAAGGAAATCAGTTTATGATGAAGAAATGTCCCGAGGCCTCGAAAACATTGCTCAACAAAAAGGGGAAAAAAGGCCCAGTGAAGAATTGTTGCTCTGCATGTCCTTTATCAGAGTCCCATGCAAAAAAGAAAACAAGCCATTGTCACTCATTCATGTTCATTCACACAAACACACATGATACAAAAAAACATGCTTACCCTATCTGTGAGGGTGAAAGTGAAAACAAGTTTTAGTACCCCCCCATGTTCATATATTTCGTTTCAAACCTTGATATCTGTCTTGATTCATTTCTAAGATAATTTTAAACCCCTTGATTTAAAGTATGCAAAAGAATCACCTTTTCGTGCCAATGCTATCTAGTAAATTGTATCGATGAAATTATCAACATTTTTCTATTAAACAAAATTGCAAAAATTCAACTTTACATTCTTATCGTATTTTTGATACAACCTAGCTCATTCCTAAACATTCCATTTTTTAAGATTTCAGGTGTCATTTTGTAACTTATTTAAGTATTTGGTATTTTCAATCTGAACGGCCCCTAATACGACATGTAGGCTAACAGACAGATTAAAGACCCCATGGCTCAGCCATAGCTATCCCTAATTTAGAATGACAGACCAGCACCCATCGCATACTCAGCTACTCTTAACTGGGATTGAATGTCACAATTACGGTGCCCCACATCTGAAAATGCGGGGCGTATTCAACGTTATATAGTGGATCGAATCTTGGACTTTCATATACGCAGCGGGAACGTCAACTACTAGCTACACCCAGCCGAAATATTTAAGAATACAAGAGTTACCAAGCTCTTAACCTATGCCTGAAGCAGTCTCTAAAAGGTCCAAACAAACCGAGTAAGAAGATTTGATACTAAAGAATAGATAGAGGCACTACTACTGCTACCAAGATTTGGAATGACTCTTAGCGACTAAAATCGTTTTCAAAATTGACAAAGAAACAACAACAATAATTATTTTGACCAATATATTCCGTTATATTTTACTTCTAAATTACAGTTTAATGTTGAAAAGAAAAAACGACAATGTGGTAAACTTACATGACCATCCCACTATTTTTTGCCGGCCCAGCATGGCCAGGTGGTTAGGGCGCTCGACTCGTAATCTGAGGGTCGCGGGTTCGACTCCCCATCACACCAAACATGCTCGCCCTTTCAGCCGTGGGGGCGTTATAATGTGACGGTCAATCCCACTATTCGTTGGTAAAAGAGTAGCCCAAGAGTTGGCGGTGGGTGGTGATGACTAGCTGCCTTTCCTCTAGTCTTACACTACTAAATTAGGGACGGCTAGCGCAGATAGCCCTCGTGTAGCTTTGCGCGAAATTCAAAACAAACAAACAAACTATTTTTTGTATAAACATATCTATTAAAGTGTTCCGAGGAATCAAATGACTTCATGGTACAACACACCATCTTCTGACAAGCTTTCGAAAGTGGCACAGTGGTATATCTGCGGGTTTCGATACCAGCACATGTAGCCCTTTGTGCAGCTTTGTGCTTAATAACAAACAACAGCTATCGAATAGACAAACGGGTGACTGTATCAGTGGAATGAGCATGAATACTACGAACCTAATGAAATTGTTTGACAAGGAGTTCCATTACATCAATACATCAAGTTCGATCAAAATTAAGAATAATACAGAAACAAACAAATGCAGATATCTACATGCATGTACAGGATACTACATGTAGTTCTGATAGTTTAAAGAAAGTGTAGTAGCCACTGTAGCAGAGGCTCAAGGTTTTGAAAAACAGTTATATGTATATGTATTTTTTTTTATAAACACACACACACACACACACACACACACACATATATATATATATATATATATATAACAGAGACATAAAGAAAGAGGT